AGTAATTACTACACCACCAACTACTCCGGAATCTACATCAGGCCTAACTACATCACAAACAATACAAGAATCAACACCACTAATCACTATACCACCAACCTCTCCAGGATCTACACAAGGTACACCTACGCCAGACAAGTCAACCAGACCACCACCTAAGGAATGTAAGTACAAACACATATTAAAATGTGCTTAATTATTTTAGGCATGGTATACCAGTGTATCCTGCTTCAATAGTCATAGTAGTTAGCGTTTTATATTAAATAATAATCACAGACATATGAAATAGTCCAGTCTACAGGTTGCTTTTGACAACAACTGTAACATGTTCATTTAAGAACTAATCTCCTCATTAAGATGTCCGTAGTTTTTAAAATTTACATTTGTAGGTATCTGTTATGGCTACGGAGACCCTCATTATTGGAGCTTTGATGGAAATCGATTTTCACACCAAGGCAACTGCACCTATATACTAGCACGGCCACAATCTTCTAGGACATTTGAAGTTCTCATAAAAAACTTTGAATGTGTTCTACAGCCAGGGACTACATGTACGAAAGAAGTTACAGTTCTCTATGATAATCATGTCATTGTTTTAATGGAGAACTTTGAGGTACGTTTGCAATTGCAATGTTAGATGGTATTTCAAATTGTTTCATATGTCACCTTATACATTGATAACCATTTATAACTACTGGAACACGTTGAGTATAAGATTTAAGTTTTGACAGAATATTCGTTAAACAACTAGGCTATTCTGATAATTGATAAGTCTGTTCTCATCTTGTTCTACCATGTTATATTGCTAAGACAGTACTTTAGTAGTAATTTTACGTCAAATATGATGGAATAGTTAAACTCATAACCAATCTCATATGTATCCAAATAACAGGTAGATTTTGATGGGCGTAGGTTATTTCCTCCAATTCACCTGCATGGTGTTGATATAAGTCGGTGGGGATTGCAGTCAGTGCTTACTATCATCTCCGTGGGACTTGAAGTTCGCTTTGAACCGTATTTCCACACATTCAGCGTAACTGTCCCTTATGAATGGTATTTCAATGACACTGAAGGACTTTGTGGTAAGTAAGTTTATTTGCTTAAGACATATTGTGTGAGTAAACGCTAAGACGCTTTCATGAATTATACTGTAGTGAATAGTCCCCGGTAAATATCTTAAGACTTAAGGTAGAGATGCAGTTTACCTGACAGGTATTTTAATTAGTTAATTAGGAAACCAAGATGACCTTCCTTGTCCACAAAACTATATATTTTCGGAAAATATATTGTATGAATTTTAAAGTTTTGTTAGTATTTTATTTTTATATACACTGTATACACTTTTTTTGGTCAAAAGTGATTTAAAAAAAAAATAGCTTCTAAACCATGCTTCTGTTTTCTGTCAAAATTGCTTTATGGGTACACCTGTTTACTATGAAGAAAGCGCCGTCTTGAAAACTGTCTACCAGATGTCAATTTTGTAGGGCAGCAGCTCAAATTTCACTACTTTAAGTTTATGCATAAATTAACACCCAGGCTAGTTGTCTGTACGATTGCTGTAACACTGTTCAACTAAAAACAATGCCCCGACTGCGTTTTGAAGATAAACACATTGTCAATCATTTGTGATAATTTCAAAACAAAAGGTCAAAGCGTCTAGGAGCTATTTTTTTTAAAGTTCTGGAATGTGCACTAAAATGAAGCTGAGATAATTGCTAATTTGCATAACAATTCACTTAGTAAGAAGTTTGCTAATGCTCATAATTAAAATGGCTGTTACAGTTTCAAATTTAAATGTATTATCGTTTTGTAAAAAGTTAAATACAGTGCATAATATGGAGATCCCGTCATTTCTTTTTTTCACCTTGTTTTTTTTTATTATTTATGTACAGCCTTGCTAAATCTTGCTAAGCATTCAAAAGAGATAATTTTGCACCTGTTATCTATATTTTAAAATCGTTTTTTGAGTATTTTCCACTATTCACAATTCTACAAAATTTCAACAGTCTATAGCTAAGACTTTTTGGATAATAAAAAGCAAAAAAAAATTCACTCCCAAGTGCCCACAAACCTGCATCTCTACCTTAATGTTCCTAGGCTTTAGGGTAAACAATAACTGGTATAAATGGATAAATAATTACAAGAACAAAGGAGCATTTAAAAAAAAATCTCAGTACATTTATTTATTTTATATATCCCTTGCAGGTCCATGCAACGACTATAGTGTGGATGACTTTATGATTCGAAATAAAACCGTAGTAGACAATGTAAATGATTTTGCCATGAGCTGGCAAGAGAATTGGAACGACACTTGTGAAATAATAAGTCCAACGCCATGCCCAGATGAGAAACCAACACTTTGTGATCTGTTATACCAAGACCCATTCAAAGCATGCCATGACAACGTCGACCCAGAGCCATATATGGAGACATGTCTGTATGACGAGGAATACGCTCATTGTGACGAATCAGGGGCGTGTGATTCGCTAGCATTTTATGCTTACCAATGCAGTTTAGCCGGTATCTGTTTGGAATGGAGGAATAATGACGTTTGCCGTAAGTGAACTAATAACAAGGCTTGACTGATTCTCATTTTATTAATTATATATCGCGTATGGTATAATATCGCCTTTTTTCACTATAGCTTATGACGACTGCTTTGGTGAGATGGTATACAGTGAATGTGCTCAGACATGTAACAACTCTATTGATGTCTGCGCCATGGAAGAATGCTCACTAGCACCCTCTCGTGGTTGCTTCTGCCCCACAGGAACGTACGACAAGAATGGGAACTGCTGCTGTAAGTATATGAATATATTATGTATATATTTTACCATAAGTAACTGTTAACATTGCCCTGTCATTTGTATGGACTGATGCGAACATTCCAGTTCATTGAATGAATATATTTTGTAAACGTCCATCTACGTATATATTGATAATATCATCCACTCCACAACGATTTTCTCTCATATCCAGCCTGTGACGAATGCTCGGTCCCTAACCCTCCACCCTGTCCAGAAGGGCACGTGCTTGAAATGACAATTATTGATAGTGGGAAATGTTGTCCCGACATACACTATCTCTGCGGTAAGTGTCGCTATATTTGTTTTCACTTGTGCGTATGTATCACTCAAAAACGTATACGATCTGTTGAATGGTTCGATCGATAGTGAACGTGTTCGTCATCATTATAGACAATAAACATGCATGTTATATGAGAATAATATTACAAAGTCATCAATGTACGTTCTTCCATAATTTCCCACTTAGAACGTATCGCTGGATAAAATGTAATGTCGTGAAAAGCCTGACAAAGCGGGATCGCAAAATTTCAGTGTGTCTTTGTGTAATGTGTCTTTGAAATGCCATTTCTATCTTTATACGTGTTCCTCAATATAGTTAGCCTGAGACACTTATGACACGATTCGCAATGTATGTAGGGCGGACCAAAAGCGTTCGCTTTTGATAGAATATCAAGCAAACTACGCTTAATAATCTTCTTTTTTTCATAGTGTCTACAGTAGTGTGAATTACCTTCTCTATTTAATAATTCTAGTGTGTGCTCCCGTGTGTCCGGGTCCACCAACTTGTGATCCCGATTCGATGCTGAGTAAAGTAGACGGCCCTTGTTGTCCAAGATACGAGTGTGGTGAGTATGTCTTTGTTGTCATATATACGAGTGTGGTGAGTGTGCCGTTGTTGTCATAGATACGAGCATGGTGAGTATGCCGTTGTTGTCATAGATACGAGCGTGGTGAGTATGCCATTGTTGTCATAGATACGAGTGTAGTGAGTATGCCGTTTTTATCTTAGATACGAGTGTCGTGAGTATGCCGTTGTTGTCATAGCTACGAGTGTGGTGAGTATGCTGTTGTTGTCATAAATGCGAGTGTGGTGAGTATGCCGTTGTCGGAAATACGAGTGTGGCGAGTATGCCCTTGTTGGCATAGATACGAGTGTAGTGAGTATGCCGTTGTTGTCATAGATACGAGTGTGGTGAGTATGCCGTTGTTGTTCTAGATACGAGTGCAGTGAGTATGCCCTTGTTGGCATAGATACGAGTGTGGCGAGTATGCCGTTGTTGTCATAGATACGAGTGTAGTGAGTATGCTGTTGTTGTCATAGATACGAGTCAGGTTAGTAATATGGGCAAGAATAGCTTTGCATTATTCAAGAATTCAATTGGTACTTAAGATTAAAACACTGTCTCAATCAATACATGAACCACTATACCTATTTTATATGGGTTTCCAATGTGCAAATTTGTATGCGATTTCAAGTCTTCGAGTTAAAATCTGTAAACTAGGTAGACTCAACTTCCTATACCTCGTATTGGTAACTCTGAATGATGAGTTTATCTCATAATTTATCGGTATATTTTGTTCATTTCAGTTCCTCGTCACGGAAGCTGTAAACCCGTGAGCGGTGAAACACAGATAGTGTATATAGGTGGATGTGAAAGTGCTGTTCCGATCAAAATAACAGAGTGTGATGGTAAATGTAAATCCGGTTCCATGTGGTCATTTGAATCAAACTCTCTGGAGGACACCTGTACGTGTTGCCAGGCGACAGAAACAGAATATCGTACTGTTGATTTGGTTAACTGCGACCGAATGAACAATAGCACGTCTAGTTTTTATACATACGAGTATATATTAGAATGTAGCTGCATGCATTGTACGATTCATGAATACGAGCCTTCCTATCATAACATTGACAAGAACTAGTGTTCCTGTCAGTTACGATATTGATTAATGGGAAATGTTAACATAACTATTGGTATATAGTTAGCTCACCAATATAGCTGTATTAGTTTCTCAAAATTATTAGTTGTTCTCAAAATGATTGTGTTCATATTTTTGCAAATATTACTGAATTCGAATGTTAAGCTAATCGTATAGCCAATCAATATACTTGATATAAAGAGCCAATGCTAATATAGAAAATATGTTTACTCTAGTAAAATTATAACATGTTTTGAATAAATTGCAATATTTTCTTGAAGAAAGTTTTAATACAACTTTTCAGGTAGAGCAGTAATAAGAAAATATTTCTGTGGTTAGATTTCGTTTCGACCACACACAGGTAGTCTTTATGGGATCTAAATAACAAAAGAAAACACTACAATTCAAAATTTGTGTGATATAAATACAAAACCAATCATGTACTTACAAATATTATGGAAATTTAATGTTGAAAGTAAAAAAATACAAAGATGAAAATAATCACAAATAAAATGCAAAATGGTGGAGAGTACTATGTCGGCCATTTAAAAATATAAAGCCCATTCAACACTGGAACCAGTGTCACATTTCAGAACCGACTGCAACTTTCAAGATGTTATTAATAATAATAATATGAGAATTAAAGCTGCAAGCAGCGTCACAGGGGCCCAAGTATACATGCCATAAATAATGAGGTCAAATGATACACAATTAGTTTGAATGATTAGTACCATGAGGTCGAAATGCAGTTGGTTCCATATATTTATTTGAGATATAAAGGTTATTAATATATGGTCATCTGTTATTTTAATCAAATCTCTTGTTTAACATCATCATAATAACACAGGATTCATCATTATAACTACAACAGTGCTTGAGTTATAACAGTTATGATTATTTATGAGGTTAGAAGCCCCCACCCCATGCAGTTGGTTCCATATATTTATTTGAGATATTAATGTTATGAATATTAATGAGTTCACATGACCATAAATGGTCATCTGTTATTTTAATCAAATCTCTTGTTCATTGTTGTCATAATAACAAAGGATTCATCTTCCTAACTGCAAAAGTGTTTAAGATACGATTATGCATATTAATGAGCTCGCATGACCATATATGGTCATCTGTTATTTTATTCAAATCTCTTGTTTAACATCATCATAATAAAACAGATTTCATCTTCCTACCTGCAACAGTGCTTGATATATAACAGTTATGCATATTAATGAGTTCACATGACCATATATGGTCATATGTTATTTTAATCAAATCTAAGGTTCACTGTTGTCATGATAACACAGGAAGAATCTTCCTACCTGCAA